ATAAGAGACAGGTGGAGCAGGTGGGCCACCATCCGGGCCGGGGAGCAGTGGCTAGTCGTGACGGGGCAGTGGCTAGTCGCAGCAGGGCAGTGGCTAGTCGTGGCGGGGCAGTGGCTAGCCACAGCCCTCGGGGGGTTGCAGAAGTTGAGGTACAGGCCCCGAGTCCGAGGCTCAGCCGTCTCGCCTGAGCAGCTTTCTGCCGGCCCCCTGGGCGCGGGGTCACCCCGCTGAGCTTTGCAAAGGGGCCCGTGTAGTTTAGTGCAACGTTTGCTGGTGTGACAGATTTGAAAAGCCTGTTGCGCTTCGCAATAAAATCTTTTATTTTCTGAACAGGTATTTCCGTTCCCACATCTTGGTTCCTTTTGTCTGTATTTCATTGCTATAAATACACTGTAAAGTGAAAAATTCTTACTTTTCTTTTGCAGTGCTGCTGCTTTTCGTGTGGCTAATTAAGGGGCGGTAATTTTAACGTTCATAACCCAAAGAGATACCAGTACCTCGGTGCTCCCGCAGGTAGTTTTTCTCTTTCTGCTGCTTTGCATTGATAACTCCCTACGTGCAGGTGCCTCTTCCACGACAGAACGGACACGTTACGCTGAGGGCAGAGGTGCATGCAGTGCAGCGTGAGCAGCGGTAGCCTCTCTCATTTCTGATACACCGCTGAAGAGACACAGAATTCTGGTGTGGGTTTGGATTCAAATCGGAATGTCTCCATTGGTTTTTAAAAGGCCGGTTTAGTTTTACGAATTTATTAATCTAGTTATTAGGGTGATGAACTCTGATGTAAAATTGTGTATTTTGTGTATTGTCGTATTACCTAAATCCAGACCTTTCTGTCATATATAAAATCCATGTAAGCCTGATTTTGGTCTGTTGTGAATATGTCAGATATTCGTAATTTCTGGATTTGTACTGGATTTATGCAGTTGCAACACTTGTATTTCCAGTATGTGCCAGTCTGTGGCAACGACATCTGATTTGTGGAAATGTCTCTGAGCACCTGAAGCAATTAATATAGTTGAATTACTTGTATCAAGAAATATATTCCTTTTTATTCAGCTCATACTAACTTCTTTGAGGTCTACCCAGCAAAATCTTTCATTGCTTTTGCTCTCCTTGAGGCCGTTCTTTCCGTGAAGGAGTTGCGATGCAGTAGTAACAGTGCTGTGATCCCTGTCCAGTGCGAAGGGACGTTGCTGGGTACTTGCTGGGTA